ACAACCAACACATAAAGGTGTTCCAATGGAGCAATAAGCTTCAGAGCTGAGTAACGATATAATCACTTAGGCATTATAAGTACCAATAGCATCAACATAGAATCCAGCTCGCCCAAAGAACCCAACAATCTTGTTGCCATTCTGAGCCGGGAGGTTGAATGGCCTTCCAACATTGGGGCCGTACGGCCCGAACACTCTTAAGTTGGTAGTAAACTTTACAGATCGTAACACATCGAACCTCATATCTAGGAAACGTCCAAACGTTCCGCTTATCTCAGTCAGGTATTCATCCGCGCCATCAATATTAATCTATCCAAGTATATCATGAATCAAGAAAAAAGTTAGAAGGAAAGCAACTTAGAACATGTATATATGATAAATAATAAATATATTTAAAAATAAAATATACAAAATTAAATGTATAACCGTGTCGTTACGGATGACGGTGGTTTCATTCCCACCTCCGCCAATTGTGAGGGTATTCTTCGAACCATCCTTATTAGAGGAAGAAAAAGTTATACCAATAGGATTGTTATTTCCGGAGCCGCCAGATGAAATAACAATTTGATTAATGTTGTTAATAGGTCGGAAACTCCAAAAGGTACCACCGTTGTGTCCCAATGGACCATATGCGACATCAGTAGAAATTGCCATTGTATTGTTTGTTGAATGAAAATTGAAAAGCAAATTAAAAGGGTGAATGAAAATGAGAAAGTTTGGTGTGGAGAGAAAGAAGAGTTGGAGGTCATTTTATAGAGAGTAGTGAATTGAAGTTAAGTGGTAGGGTGATGAAATACTTACGTCGTAATGATCGAGTTGTGGAACTAATTTTTGTTCACGTCGAAAGTGAGTTCCGATCCTACTATACTTAGCTTGCCAGGCTAGAATAAGATGCATATCAGGGACTGCACAACTTAAGTTTTTTTTTATGATGAGAAAATTTGAGGATGGGCTCAAATTAAAAATGTCAATAGGTTATTATCGTTAAGATTTGAACTTGTAATTTTGTAACTACCAAGTCAACAGTGTGACCAAGTGATCCTAATTTTCATCCCATTTTTTTCAGTTTCGTCGAGCTATATCCTTTGGCAAATTATACCATAGACCAGGGTCCTCAAGAGTCCACTCCAAAGTGACATTCAGATTATGGGTGTGTTTGATTGACATGTTTAGCTCTAAGGAATGTGTATCAAAGTTATTGGTATCGTTTGGTTGATATGTTTTTAGAACACTACTATGTGTTTCAAATACTCCCTTTTATTGAAAAACTCATACCCAAATAAAATAAGGGATATCATCCCCTTTCATTCCCTTATTCATTCTTATCCCATTTGATTAGTGCTTTTAGATTTTAGATTTTTGTTTTTATTTTTTGTTCATATCGGTGTTTTGGATGTCTTTATATTAGAATCAATTGTCTTGATTTTTTGTTCTTATATTTAAAAAACCATTATTCTCATTATAGGATCATACATAACCAAACAACATTATTGATTGTCATTCTCATTCCACCCTACTACCAAACATGCAAAATACTTTCACTAAAACTCATTACCATTACCAAGTATTTGATACTGATTTCGATTTTGATTCCCATATGCGAACGAAACACACCCTATGTGTCTACAATCAACATATTATGTGTCTACAGTTAATAGATTATGTGCATGTAAATAAATTGAAAGCACGTTAACTACAGAGATAATATGTTAACTGCATGCACATAATATGAAGTTAACCTATTTTGTGTTTGTAGTTTCAAAATTATGTGTCATTTAATTTATTTACATGCACATAATTTATTTACTAAATATACATAATATGTTAACGACAAACACAATTTTGACTAATGTCTACAATGCGAGCTGAGGTGGATGCTGTCCATGGTATAACATTTGTAAGAGGCAAATTTTATTGTGGACCATAGTCTATGTAGTAGCGTGGACCATGAAATATGTATAATTTTAATTACACCCCAGTCGTTTCATTTGACAATATTGATCTGATATCTTTTTTAGTTTCATTTTCCTTCACACATTAGTTTCATTTGATAATATACATTATTGCTTGAACTCTATTTTTCGTTTCATTTTTCACACACTAGTTTAATTACAATAATATTGAAGTATTATTTTAATTGCACTTCAGGTCATTTGACAATATATGTTATTGTATGACTCTGGATTTTAGATTTATTTTTCACACACAATAGCTAATTTCATTATAACAATACTAAAATATCATTTTAATTATACTACAGTTTCATTAAAGAATAATGTGTTCTGATTTTTTTTTTTTGTTTCATTTTTCGCACACACTAGTTTCATTATAGAAACACTAAAGTATCATTTTAATTCTACTACAGTTTCATTCGATGATCATAGTCCACACATCGATATTTCACCAAAAATATATTGATAAGAATCAAATTTGTAACATTCTAGTACAAAAATCATGTTTCATCCACTCTTTTGAAGTTACCCAAGCCTTTCTTGCCAAGTTCAATAATTTAAAAATAACTATAGTTATAATTATTCATTACGGGTGAGTGAAAAGAGATTATCAAGATCAGAAGATCAAGGGAGAAATATAATAAAAGGAAAGGATATTATTATTATACGCCTAATAATAGGCGCAACATTATTTATTAATATGCTCACACACATGAGAGCATATTTGATAAACATAAAACATGCACCGCTCAATACAACAGTAAGAGGAGATCATTTACATCTAGTTCTCAAGAAGTACGTTTTTTTTTTTTTCAAATTTTCTTGATTTGAGTCGTTGATCTAGATTAGATCAACAACATCATTAACCACCTGAGAGACTCTTCGCACGTGAATCATTCCCAGCCAATAATTCTCCCCTTTACTTTAATTTTTTCACGTTAAAAGTAAGTTGCTAGCATGCATGCATATATATAATTCTTGTAAGGCTCCAGCAAGGGATAAGGCTTCATTCTTGTAGGTGTGGAATAAGTACGATACGCCAAAAAATAAAAATGATGGGATTTAAATTTAGAGAATACTTCTATACAATGTAGAAAGAGAAGTCGAAGTCTTGTGTAACATACCTTCTAGCTACTGAATAGGTTGGCAACAGTTGGATTGTCTAGTTCTCTCCCTCGTAGTAAGGGATTCTCTCTAATTCTCTCCCGTAACTAGGGTTTCTCCATCGGCACGGTGATAGCAAGGCAATTCGACGGCAATTCTACGCAGAAACATCACGAACGACGACCTACAGCAATCGCACGCATGGCTGCGTCAGAAGCAGTGATGGCTGGATTGTCGGACCGATGGGCGGAAATTGTTTTGGAGGACGAGGACGTCGGTGTGGTAGCGCCGGCGGTCGACGGTGGCGGAGTCATGGATGCTGGTCGGCCGTTTCTTGACTCAACGCTTGATCAAGGTTGAGTATATGCGACAGGTTATGGCCTCGGCATGGAAACCGGTTAGTGGTGTGCATATCACGGAGCTCCAACCGAATCTTTTTCAGTTTGTATTCCATCACATAACGGATGTCCGGAGGGTTATAGATGAGGGACCGTGGTCCTTTGAGAATTGTACGCTGCTGTGTAAAGAGGTGAAAGATGGTCAGTTGCCGAAGGATATGGTGCTTGATACTGTGGATTTATGGGTGCAGGTGTATAACCTGCCGGTTGGCTATAATACGGTACCGGTACTTGAACAGACAGGGAATTTTCTGGGAAAATTCCTAAAGATCGATGAAAGACAGATGAAGGGGCCTCTCAAAGCATTCTACCGAATTAGGGTTTGTATGCCCGTGGATAAGCCCCTGAAAAGAAGGATGAAATTGATTCGGCGGGACAAGTCTTGGGGATGAGTGAATTTCAAGTACGAGAGATTACATACTTTCTGCTTTTTCTGTGGACTGTTAGGGCATTCGGAAAAGTTCTGTTTGAAGGCTAGAAACTCGGCTTTGACTCCTGAACAATATCCTTATGGTGTATGGATGAGAGCTGGTCAGGCAAGAGGACCACGGCCGGTCGGAGAGCCATGGCTACTTACCTCGGATGAAGCGCCGATCCGCCAGGAACCCGTGAGTGGGGCGCCGGAAATTCCGGCTGACACTGAACATGCACACGGCGGAACTGAGGAGGAGGAGGAGGGGGTAACAGCGTTGGCTAAACGTCGCAGGCAGGATAATGGACAGTTGACTGATACGGATATTAACATGGCGGATAGTTCAAAAAACTTGCATCAGGCGGGCTCTGGTTCCCAGACCCGCCCACAACAATGAGTACTCTGAGTTGGAACTGTCGTGGCTTGGGCAATCCACGGACAGTTCGTGCAGTTGTGGACATGGTGTCCAAGAAGAAGCCTGATTTTGTATTTTTTATGGAAACGAAGGTGGCACGAATACATGCTGAACGTGTTCGTGTTCAGATTGGTTACGAGGGTCTTTTTTATGTTAATAATACGGGCTGTAGTGGTGGTTTAGCATTGCTTTGGAGAAAGAATAATACTGCAAGATTACTGGGTTACTCGAAGACGCACATTGATGTGGAGGTTGATATAAGTGGTTTTTCGAATTGGAGAATGACTTGTTACTATGGCTATCCAGAACGAACTCGGAGGACTGAGTCATGGGATCTACTGAAACAGTTGGCAACACAATCTGAGCTACCCTGGGTTGTGGTTGGTGACTTTAATGATCTCCTGTATCAGTATGAAAAGAAAGGTGGAAATCCACACCCGAACAGTCTCTTACGCGGCTTTGGAGAGACTATTGATCAGTGTGGTTTGGCACAATTACCAATGAGTGGTAATCAGTTCACATGGCAAACGGGCAAAGGCACACCTGGATGGATCCAGGAAAGACTAGATAAGGTACTAGTCACTAACCGATGGAGGGATATTGTAAATGGGGTCACGGTTGCAAATCAATGGACTAGACGGTCAGATCATTAAGCTATTTTCATGGGGATTCGACATTATGGGACCAGGAGGGGTGGGGGCAGAAGATTTCGTTTTGAGATGACATGGCTCTATGGTGAGGGATGTAGAGCGGTAGTTGCTGAATCATGGGATGAAGGAAGGGGTAGGGGAACACAAAGTTGTATTGCACACTGTGGAAAACGGTTAACCCGATGGGGGGGAGATCGTTACCATAAGTTTGGGGAAAAGATTGAGCAGCTCCAGAGAAGACAAGATCAACTCAAGGGATGTACTGATCACGCATCCCTGGATGAGTATAACCGCCTGGAAACGGACCTATGCCGAGTGGAGATGCAGGAGGATGCATACTGGAAGCAGAGGGCCAAACAGCACTGGCTCAAGGATGCTGATGCCAACACGAAATTTTATCACAGGTATGCCTCGAACCGAAGGAATAAGAATACTTTAATTAAAATTATGGATAGTCGTGGTGAATGGATGGAAGGGGATGATATGGCGGGGTGTGGTTCTGGATTATTTTAAACGCATTTTTACAACTAGTAATCGCATGAGTGGTGATCTGATCTATAGCAATATTACTCCACGAGTCACCCAAGCATAGAATGAGTTATTAATGCGGCCCTTTGAGGTTGGTGAGGTGAAAGATGCTCTTTTTGGAATGTATCCGGATAAGGCACCAGGGCCGGATGGGATGAACCCGGTTTTTTATCAAAGTTTTTGGGATATTGTGGGGGGTGACATCTCGACTTTTATTGTAGGCTGTCTGAATGCAGGCTCATTGCCACCTGGTGTGAATAATACCGATGTCGTATTAATTCCTAAGAAAGATGTTCCTGAGCAGGTCTCTGATTTGAGACCAATTGCGCTTAGTAATGTGATTTATAGGATTATGGCCAAAATGATTACCCAAAGGATGAAACCCCTAATGGATAGTATTATGAGTGCTTTTATACCAGGCAGGTTGATAACGGATAATATTTTGATTGCCTCAGAGGTAGGTCATTATTTGAACAGGAAACAGTGTGGAGCAGTTGGTTGGAGTGCCTTAAAGCTAGATATGGCAAAAGCCTATGATCGGATGGAATGACCTTTTTTGAAAGGTATGATGATGGCCCTGGGATTTAATGATAAGTGGATTGATCTTATTATGATGTGTGTTACGACGGTATCCTATAATTTCCTGGTGAATGGGACATGTAGTGATTCACTAATACCAACCAGGGGCTTAAGACAGGGGATCCATTATCTCCGTACCTTTTTATAATTTGTGCTGAAGGTCTCTCTATGTTGTTACAACAAGCACAAGGAAGGGGTTTAATACATGGATGTAGAGTAGCAAGGGGTGCTCCGCCTATCTCACATCTTTTCTTTGCTGATGATAGCTTATTGTTTTTTAAAGCGACTGTGCAGGAGGCAAATGAAATTAAAGGATGCCTGGCTCTATATGAAAATTTGTCTGGACAGGCTGTTAATTACCATAAATCCAGTATATGCTATAGTAGGAATACGACAGAGGAGGACAAGGAAAATGTGGCGCAAGTTTTGGGCGTGGTTCAGGCTCCTAACTATGGGAAGTACCTTGGATTACCATCATTTATTGGAAGAAATAAGAAAGCGGCATTTTCTTATATAGAAGACAAGATCAGACAGAGAATAGGATCTTGGAATAAGAAACTATTATCACAGGCAGGAAAAGAGGTCTTATTGAAAAGTGTGGCTCAAGCTATGCCTACTTTCTCAATGAGTGTTTTCTTATTGCCTACTACTGTCTGTACGACTATTGAGCGGTTGATGAATAGGTATTGGTGGGGCTCAGGGACTCACCAGAAAATCCATTGGAAAGCCTGGGATAAATTATGTATTCCAAAGAAGTATGGTGGATTGGGGTTTAAAGACCTAACAGCACGTTTGGTTCACGGAATGAATTTTGAGGTAATAGAAATGCTATTCCATAAGGAATAGAATAGGCAAGGAATAGAATAGGATTTGTATTCTATTGTTTGGTTCGCGGAAGGAATAGACTTTAGGAATTATATTACAGTGTTTGGTTGATTTAAGGAATAGCAATGAAATATGTTTTAAAAGACATAAATACCCTTATAAAAATATGTGATGGTGGCGATGGTGACGGTGGTGGTGGCGATGGTGGTGGTGGTGCTAGGGTGGTAGTGGTGGTGGTGGCGGTGGCAGTGGTGGGGGCGACGGTGGTGGTGTTGACGGTGACGGTTGTGGCAGTGGTGGTGGGGGCAGCAACGGTTGTGGCGGTGGTGGTGGTGGTGGTGGTGGTGGCGGTGGTGCTGTGTGGTGGTTCTGGTGGCGGTGGCGGCGACGATGGTGGTGGCGGTGGCGGTGGTGGTGATGGTGGTGGCGGTGGCGGTGGTGGTGATGGTGGTGGTGGCGGTGGCGGTGGTGGTAATGGTGGTGGCGGCGGTGGTGGTGCTAGGGTGGTAGTGGTGGTGGTGTTGACGGTGACGGTTGTGGCAGTGGTGGTGGGGGCAGCGACGGTTGTGGCGGTGGTGGTGGTGGTGGTGGCGGTGGTGCTGCTGTGTGGTGGTTCTGGTGGCGGTGGCGGCGACGATGGTGGTGGCGATGGCGGTGGTGGTGATGGTGGCGGTGGCGGTAGTGGTGGTGGCTACGGTGGCAGTGGTGGGGGCGGCGGCGTTGGTGGGGGCGGTGACGGTTGTGGCGATGGTGGTGGTGGTGGCGGCGGCGGCGATGGTGGTGGTGGTGGTGGCGGCGGCGGCGGCGGTAATGATGGTGGTGGCGGCGGCGACGATGGTGGTGGTGGCGGCGGCGACGATGGTGGTAGCGGCGGCGACGATGGTGGTGGTGGCGGCGGCGGTGATGTTGGTGGCGGCGACGGTGGTGAAATAGGATAAATTTATATCTATGATAAAAAAAATTAGGTAAAAGAAAGGGGTAAAAAAGGAAATAGATTCTAAAATCTATTCCTGAGCGTTCAGTAATAGGCTAATACCAGGGGGGCCCTAGTAATAGCTATTACCTTATTTGAGGTAATAGGCTATTACCAGGAATATTATTCCTGGTAATAGAAATGGTTACCAAACAACGGAATAGGCCTATTACTGGGAATGCTATGTCATTCCCGGCCTATTCCGTGAACCAAACGGGCCATAAGAGCTTTCAATGTGGCACTATTGGGAAAGCAAGCTTGGAGACTGTTAACCAATACAGATTCTCTGGTTTCTAAAGTTTATAAGGCAAGATATTATCCCAACCAACCTTTTACTGATGCGATTCTTGGGAACAATCCAAGTCACTGCTGGCGGAGCATTATGGCGGCTAAGGGCTTAATTTGTAGTGGGGTGAGAAGACGAATTGGAAACGGAGATACTACCTCAGTGTGGGGACACCCGTGGTTGCAAGATGAAGATGACCCCATGATCCAAACAGAAATGCCACCCCAACTGAGTAATGCCAGGGTAATCAATTTAATTAACCAAGATACATGCACTTGGGATTATGATTTGCTTACTGATATTTTTGAGCCCAGTGATGTGAGTAGGATTCTAAAAATACCAGTCTCCCCAAGTTATGATGATATGTGGTATTGGCATGGGGACCCCAAAGGCAATTACACGGTTAAACATGGGTATAAATGTATGGTGGGGAACTATGAAAATGTTGCAAATGTGGGTTTTGCGAAGTGGCTCACATTGTGGAAACAAAAAATACCACCCAGATGGAAAACCTTACTATGGAGGGCTTTGAGTGATATTCTTCCTACTACCCAGAACTTGCTTATAAAGAGAGTGGAGATTGATCCGGTGTGTGCCATGTGTGGAGTTGCAAATGAAGATATTATGCATGCATTGGTTTCGTGTGATTATACAAAGACCATTTGGGCACTATCTAACCTTCCATCTACAAATATTGTGACAAATATTTTTTATGAATGATTTAGTGAAATGTTAAATATTCTAGATTCTGATGGTATTGCCTACGCAGCTGCAATTATTTACCATGTATGGAGAGCTCGGAATGGTGCGGTTTGGGATGCATGTTTGCCCAGACCACGACGATTGCTCGCCGCGGCCCAGGCAGATATTTCAACATGGCGTCGGGTCCATGCACCGAGAGGGGACCCGAGTCCCGTGACAGTCAGCGCCTCAGCGCAAGATACTGCCCAAGAAGCCGAGAACCGTACAGCCCCCAATGCCGCACTCAACCATGCTCCAACGCAACCACCGCCCAAGTGTTATGTCGATGCTGGATATCATCACACGGACAACACAACAACGGTAGGAGCGGTAATATTAGGACCGCTTGGTCAATTTATTTCGGCGTACTCCGCACCTTTGTCACATTATTTTTCCCCACTCATGGCCGAGGCATATGCTTTTAAGGAAGCTCTATCTTGGCTACGCGAGCGTGGAGAGCAAAATATAGAGCTTTATACAGATTGCCAGGTACTGCAGAGTTACTTAACGACACCACAGCTGCTGACACGATCGTATGTTGGCTATGCAATTGATGGATGCAGGAACTATTTATCTACTCTTAATTATTGTCATGTTAATTTCTTACCTAGATCGCAGAATATTTTAGCACATAGTTTAGCTACTACAGCTTTCCAGTATGACACAGCTATGTATTGGGATACTATCCCACCTGACGCTATTTCAGCTTATCTATGAATACAACCCATTGGTTGACCTTCAAAAAAAAAAAAAAAGTGTAACATACCTTCTCCTTAAAATTAAGTTTTCATTTTAAAATAAGAATTAAATATTATAACTCAAACGCTTGCAAGTTCATTTTGGGCCTTGATTTAATTTGCATCCCTAATCCGCGAGAGAAAGCCTGTACAATTTAAGCTGGCAAATTATACCGTGCACCAGGATGCACAATGTATTGAGCGTCCTGACCTAAAACAACGTCATTTTGTATCTTTTTTCGCGTGTCTGCTATTAACTCCTTAAAAAAAAATTATGTTTCGAATGTACAGAATTGTATAATAGAAAACACAGAATTTTATACCTGAAAACACAGATTTTTTATAAATAAAAATCCTCATGTTTCGAATGTACAGAATTATATAATAGAAAACACATAATTTTATACCTGAAAACAGAGCATTTTATACCTGAAAACACAAAATTTTATAACTGAAAATTCTCATGTTTCGAATGTACAAAATTATATAATAGAAAACATAAAATTTTATACATGAAAACACAGAATTTTATACCTGAAAACACATAATCTTTTTTAAAAGGATAAAAATCCTCTGCTTCGAATGTACAGAATTTTATACCTTAAAACCCAGAATTTTATACATGAAAACACAGAATTTTATAACTGAATACACATACATTTTCGTCGTGTTAAGTCTCACTGCTGGAAATTTTGGAATCTCCGACCACCTGTAAGTGATCTTAAATCAAGTCGAAAGCCTTGTTCCGACCACTTTTGGTATCCGGAAAACCTTTTGTTGCTATTTCCGACCAATTTTTGCTTTCGAATTGATTTAAGATCACTTTCAGGTGGTCGGAAATTCA